AAAAAAATAGTTCATAAAATGATAAATATTTACGAAATCTCGCAAGAATAGCAATTTTGACATTAATTTACGTTTGTAATTATTGTTATTGCTTATTATTAAAATTAGAGAAATAATTGTCTAACTAGAGGTCAGGAATTAATATTAATTAATTTAGTGATAGTGAAATATAGTCACGAAATAACGCTCATGAGCGTTATTTAGGAAATTGCATCTTTAAAAACATAAATACAGTATTTTAGTCCCGACTTTGTATAATATATATGTTGTAAGTGGGAACGGGATTTAAGTGGATTTGGTTAAATTAGCATTTCAGGGTGTTCATTTTTGTATAAATCCTATACCCTCACCCTAAAATTCTAAGAAATACCATCACCCTAAAATTCTAAGAAATACCATCACCCTAAAATTCTAAGAAATTCCAAATCCACTAAATCCCGTTCCCACTTACAACATGTCACATCAGGTTCAAAATAACGCGTAGGAATGTTTTTTCGCGATTATAGATATGATTATACTGCATCGATCACTTTTGTACTCCAAGGGGTATAACTATATGTGGATTGGATTGGTTTATATAAAATTATAAGATTTTAATTAAATTAATTAGCAAATTGAAATGTCAAAAATGTCAAAAGATGTCAAAAGATGTCAAAAGCTATTCATATATAGATTAGTCACATGATATTTAATTTCTAAACGAAATCTCAGAACTTATAAAGCATATTTATTTTTATCCGTGTCAATTAGTAATTATTTAATGTTTTCTTTTTTTTTTTTTTTTTCAACCTTGACGAAAAATAATTATTATACAAGAAAAAACGAAAAAGAAGGTTTGTTTGGCAAAAAAAAAAAAAAAAAAAATGTTTGTCGAAACACTCAAATATACATATACATTATATATATACACATTATGTGTAGATTATTGGGTGGATTTAATCTTATTATCATTATATCATTATGTGATATGTTCATCAATGTTGTAATATCGTGTGTGGAATAATATTAAACTAAACAATGTAAAAACAATGTACAAAAAGGCAAAGGTTTGAAACAAAAATAAATAAGTCTATGCTCTCACGTACACATATGTTCCTTTCCACATAAATACATTTAACATAAATATATTTATCTATTTTAACCCGAATGTTAACCCGAATGTAAATTTTTTTTAGAAAAAAAAAGTTGCTTAAAAAGATGGAAGAATTTTAATCAAAAAAAATGTACATATTTTTTAATTTTATGTCCAACGCGAATATATTTGGTTACATGTTAGCGGTTCAACTTGTATCCTCCCTCGGTGTATCTAATATCCAATTCAAATTCAAAGGGTGGTTTCGAGGCAAAGTATTCTCATCAGTCGCTAATGAGGTGGTAGAAGTAGGTGATGGTGATTGTGCATAATAGATATTTTCCTGCTGCCATTCACTAGAGTTGCTTAATGGACTCTTGGGAAGTGTTGAGCAAATTGAATTTGTATACTGTGCTACAAATTGTTGAGGAACAATCAATTTTTTACAATCATTATTTGGTGAATTATTAGAAGGATCACAAAAGCAAAGGTCTCCATCATCTGTGGTACAGAAAAGAGGCTCTTTCATTATTATGTCCTCGATTGATAAAGATGGGTGACTTTCAACTTGCTGATGTTTAGGTTGCCTATTAAAATTAATAGATGGTAAGGTGTCCGGGGTTAATGAAGGTAACTTTTGGTTTGTTGAAGGATCATATGATACACTATTTGGTTTATGGCATGACGTTTGCACACACGCTCTGGGTGACTGTATTGTCGAATTTTCGTCACATGACGCGACATCATCATCATCATCCATGCGTTTGACCACTTTGCAACATGAATTTGCGCCTTTTTTATTAGCTGGTGTCTTTTTGCACTTTTGTTCGTTGGCGTATCCATCACTTTCTTCACATTCATCATTTTCTTCACATTCATCATTTTCTTCACATTCATCATTTTCTTCACATTCATCATTTTCTTCACATTCATCATTTTCT